GTGCGGCCGAAGGCCGCCTACGCAGAAAGGTGTTCTCTGCAAAAGGTATTCAGCCCCCTTTCTTTGGCAACACAGAAGAGAATTCTACGTAGTGAGGGTTATAATCCCTAAGTGCGGCCGAAGGCCGCCTACGCAAAAAGAAGTTCTGCGCTAAAATACTATCATATTACTATTACTACAACATTTCTATCTGTCGCTTTTTTCTTGATTTCACAATATTTTTAGTTAAGGTTTGTTTCCTTAATTTTTTTTAGTTAATTTTTTTTTCAAATCGCCTGATAACCAACTTGGGATAATATCTTTTATTTAAAAATCCAACGGTTTTCGTTAGTTTGGTTATATTCCACTTCAAACTGCTCAGTTGCCTCGGAAAATGCCGTTTTTACCCCATTTTCAAACGGTTCCCTAGAGGTCTGTGGGAAGTCCCCAAGGGGGTGGGGCTTTTCGTAAAGTGGCGACTGCCCCCTTTCGAATGAGGGGGGTTTGGGGGGCCACGCCCCTCCCCCTCCGCCCCCCACCCCAAAAACGATGGGCCAATAACTAAACGTTTCCCCTTAAAATACAATCGATTTTATAATTCCAATGGAAAAATAGTACCGATTTTTTTTTGTATGGGGAGTGATGCAGTGTAATGTACATATGTATAAGCACTCTATTTAGTTTGCTCGATCTGTAAACAAAGCTTCCCAGCGGTGAAAAATATACTATTGTGAACAACCTAAACGAGCGAAATTCACAATAGCGCTATTCTTCATCGAATGAGGGCCATAATACCAAATGAAGATTCGTTCCGATTAGCACTTTCGACCACAGTCGAAGATCGAATGCAACTCATAATAAGGGCCATAATCACTTTTTTAAAGGCAGAAAAGGCAAAAAGGCAACATCCAATGTATATATATGGAATCAGGGGAAGCTAAATCGTGGACTTTCTTAATCGAATATATATCTCTTCAGCAGAAAAAAATGCAATTTCCATAAAATCCGTTCCCTGATCATCGCTAACACATACTTTACGATCTCCATTAATTACTACACCTCGACAAGCCATCCCGAGCTATGTCGACCCCATCGAGTTGCTTAAAAACCAACCTATAGCAATGTACATCTAATATATAATTTTCTCAAAGAGGTAGACCTCAGACGAATATAACACATAATAGTATAAAGCGGAGATGGCAAAAGCATTTTGCACTTAGGAGCCGGTTGGCACATTTAGGTGCTAGATGATGGGAACATCAAGAGCCAGCATGAAGGGGGAAGAGCATATTAAAGATTTTTGTACTCTGACTCTCATCACTAATATAAATGATGCTTTCGATGTATTTTTTACACGCCCTTTACCCTGAGAACATATTTAACTCTTACGTAGCTCTTGCTGGCTCTTTGACTGCTTTAAGGGCCGAAAATCTGCCCATTCCTGGAATAAAGCAAAATGCAAAGATAGATATTTTCATTCGAATAAGATGCAAAGGACAGCTGAGGGACTTCGTCGCCAGTGCTGCGAATCGTAATGTATTTGTAGAATATTTATTTATTGTACAAATATAGTAAAAAAAAAATATATAAAATAAAATAAATATTTTGATTACCTCGATCGCTATCAGTTCTGCTGCTAATCCTTTGCAATCCACATTTTCAAAATGTTCGTCTACAGCAATAACTGGTTTTCTGGGATCTGATCCAGCACGAAGTCCCTTAGGATATCCACGTATGCTTGTATTTAAATACAAAATATTGGACTTCTTCTCCAATATCACAAACCTTAAAATGTATATATATGTATGTCACATGCATAAGTACGAATTAAAACATTTTCATACTTTGGAAAAAGTTGAAGAATGCAACTACCTTCCCCTCCCGTATACAAATGCGTTTCTTTCCATTCAGTTGGCGAGGCAATGCAATAAGTCTGGTCGTCCTTGGTGTGTATTAAAACAAGTGTTGGTCCGCGGTAGCCAAGAACATGGTGCAGAAACCGATTAGCACCCAACCCATGTTCATTCGAGTCATATAATAAAGCCCAATGTGATGGCATCATGGAAAGTTTATCTTTGAAAATTTGCGCTGCAGATGACTTATTAGCGTTTGGAGATTGGATGGTCTGCGGTTTGGAGTAAAGTGGTGGAAGGGCGCCTGCCAATAGCCACGCTTGTGATAATGGCATTAAGGACTCGTATTTTGAATTACCAGTATCTCTGCCGGCTGCATCAGGAAATGGATTACGTTGTTCCAACACTGGTGTTTGTAGTTCAATGCCGCATGATTGATTATGTTGTTCAAGACCTCTATAAGCAGTTGACAATGTATGTACACAATATTTATGCACCAACGCGACCAAACGAATAAGATTCTGTTCAAACCAACGACAAACAAAGCCTACACTTAGATTGTCGTGGCTAAAAAATATTGATTTGGTCACCGAACCGAAGGTTCGATTGATCTGCAATAAAAAATATAAACAAATTATGCTCAGAGAAATTTTCCCTACAGGAATTTCCTTACCGCTGGGCATAATATTGCGTTGCCGGAGTGTTGCATAGCTATAGTATAGCACGTGAAAAGTAAGCGGGTCACTCCTTCTTTAGTAATAAAATCTGGATTGTCCTCTTCTGCAAACATTTTTATATAACATTCCAAAGTTTTGTCATCATCCATTATGCCAAGAAATCGTTCGCATTGTTGGCGGAATGCTACAGTACCAAGATAGGCAGTTGTAGCTTTCGATGCTGAATGCATTAGTCGAAAAAGTCGTTTACCTAAATCAGCATATTGAGGAAATACTTGCGACTGTGAAAGAAACACAAATCAGTATTTTTGCCATCGTCATAAAATGTATGATATGCACTCACCACAAATACGTCCGCAACTATGCCATTGACACTATGCTTGGCTGATTTCTCCTTAAGTATTTCGGATAACTTTTCAATTGGTACGAATTGTGTCAAATACTTCTCCGTAACATCCGCGCCTGATGCAGATCTACTCATAGATTTCTCCGCTTTCAAGAAAGCATGGTTGCTTGCTGTGGAAGACCCATCAACAATAGGAAGGGTAGGGGTTGATTTAAGGTGTTTTTCCTTGGCACCACCTGACCCTGCGTTAGTGCCGTCGCTGCAAGAGTCACTTCTAAAGTTTGAGTTTCCCATTGGACAACGTATTTATTTGCCGAATAGACCATTCACAGCTCAAGAAACAAAAATATTTCGAAATTCCCAATATCTGAACGAAAATAAGAAAAGACTGTCGATTCGAAGACAATAGCCAAGGCGTATTGAACAAGGTGGTGTTGGCCGTATATAAGTAAAAAATTACACTAACAAATTATACCCTGATGTCCATACTGTCATTGGCATGATTCAATAATACAAGGTTCGATAAACGGACAGTTGTCTCTCTCGCACCGCTCCCTTAGCAGTGGCACCTTGTTGCTTCTTTGCAAATTTACTTGGAAAAGTGTAGCTTTGGTGTGAAATTGAAGTATAAGCTTTTTCTTTTTGTTTCTTTTGTTTACTTTTTACCGCTCTTCTTCTGCCATTGTTTACTATTCACGGTGCCCTATCAAACGTCAAAATTACTGGCCTACTACTATTTCAAGCAGAAGAAAGAACACGAACATTTTCTTGTGCATTTTCTTAAGAGCTGGATACAGCTGTATCCTGTATGCAGCTCTCAAGAAAACGGTCAAGAAAAAATTGCCATTATTTCGTATGTGTGTCCAAGGAATTTTGACATTTTTGATACTTCACAGCCTGTTGCCGCACTCTTTCCTCAAGAAATAATTGAACGGGCATATATTTCTGTTGCAAACCAGGGTTGCCAGTGCTCTTTTTTCACAAAAAACTTTTGAAAACCGTACTAGAAAGCGTAGTAAATTTCTTAAGAAAGTAAAAATAAGCTTTTTATTTTATAATAATAATAATATAATAATAATAATAAAGGACTGTATGCGGCTCTCAAGAAAAGCAAAAACTCCATATAAAATGACGTACAAGAAATGGCTAAGAAATTTTCTTGAGTCAAATTTCCTTAAGGCAGTACGCAGTTCTTAAGGAATTTGCTACGCTTTCTACTACGGTTTTCAAAAGGTTTTTGTGAAAAAAGAGCACAAGGCAACCCAGGTTTGCAACAGAAATATATGCCCGTTCCATTATTTCTTGAGGAAAGAGTGAGGCAACAGGCTGTGAGGTATCAAAAATGTCAAAATTCCTTGGACACACACTCGAAATAATGGAAATTTTTTCTTGACCGTTTTCTTGAGAGCTGCATACAGGGCTGAAACCATGAACCAAAAAGACAAGATCACGCGGGCAGGAGGGTAGCCCGTTAGAAACGCATTTAGGAAAAAAGTTGAACGATTTTGACATTAGCCGTTTGTTTACATTTCTTCGTTGTTTACAATTTCGTGGTGGCTTTTTACTGCAATTTTCTTCATTTTCGCTTGTGACAACGTGTGTACCCATAAGATAAAGAATAATTTAACACAACGGCATGAGTTATAGAAGAATTTGCATAATAAATTTTTATTTTTCATGCGTTCAACAATTTCGCGGTTTTCTCCGTTCTCTTCGTTGTTTACTTCTTATAACAAAGATGGCGTCGAGATTTCGGCAGCTAGAAAATAACTTTTTTCGTTCTTTCCTTCCCGCGTGATCTTGTGTCTTTCGTTCATGCATGGAAACAGTGTAGCTTTGGTGTGAAATAGAAGTATAAGCTTTTGTGCAATATGTTTATTTGTATATACATATGAAGCATATTTAACTGATGAAAACATTAACTGCTTTTAAATTGGATGTTTACATCAATCTCATAGTAGTCTTATTTTAATTTTGAGTCATTTCGCAGTTTTTATACAACTGAATAGCACATAAATTACGTAATTCACGTAGATATATCAATATTACGTTCAACATTTCGATTAAAATGCCAGATTTCCTGCAAATACTTTAGAATTTACTAAAGGAATTTCACTACTACTTGCCTACTTTGCGTACTTTTCTACTAACATTTTCGCACCAAGAGATTTCATTCTTCCCCTTTCTCCGTCATTCGTAAATGCAAACTTTTGTAAGGGAGTGTCAAACCGCAGCTGTCTATAATTATCTAACCTTAGCTTTGTTTCTTAACAGATAATTATCACAAATTATCACTAATTTCTGCTGGAAAGCGTTTCTTAACCCAAAAAACTGGCAGAAACTAGCAGCTCTCTCTCGATCTTACGCTCTTCTTTTTTTGGCTCTCCTGCTAATTTCTGCTAGTAAAATTTTTACTAGCAGAAACTAGCAGCTGTCAAAATGGATAAACAAAAATTCGCGCCAAATATTTTTAATAGTCAAATACACCGATCAGCTGATTACTTGCTAGTTTCTGCTAGTTTTGCGTTTCTTTACTTTTTCGTTATTTCGCTCTCTGTGAGCGTAATTCTTTCAATTTTCTCATTCTTCTTCTTCCTGATAATTATCTGCTAGAAAAGAAAAGAAACAAAGCCCTTGTATTATTGAATCATGTGTCATTGGTATGAGTTACAACAAACACATCATTTTGACGTATTGGCCTCCACGGCGAAAAACTCAGCTGTCCCCCAACACCACCTTGTTTAATACATCTTGTCAATAGCCCTGTAGCTCGCTTCTGTAACAATTCTCTACCAAGGCGAATTGAGATATGAATTCGCCGGCCTGGTCTCTACTGCTAATAACATGTTCTGACCGACATAGAAAACATGTTTTCGTTGCTAAAACTAGTTTTCGACCTAAAACATGTGTTCTTTGCGTCAATGTAAAATCTGTCAAACGAAAACAAGTTTTCGCTGAAAACTACTTGAAAACTCACGTTCCACTCGTTCCAATAGGTGTCTTCACTAGTTTTTTTTCTACTATTTATCGAAGTGTAAGTCATATTTTATCATTTTTAATACGCTATTTCGTATTTATTGTTAATTGGCTGGCCAAAGTAAAATAAGAATGAAAGTAAGAGGTTGCTAATGAAAAGAAAATGTGGGAAAAGCATTTAGTTTTGTTTTTGTGTAGCAAAACTGCAATGAGAGGATATAAGAAATGTCAATGAAAACACTAAAAGCCGGTGTGAACAGCCTTCAGCCCACAATTCCAAAACTCAATTTCAAAGTATTTTCCAAGGCGTATTTAACAGGTGATAGCAGCGCCCTTTTATTTTTCTTCGCCTCACGGCTTCATATCTCAAATGGCTGCTGGTGATTGGTTGGAGCAGTTGATTGTTTATTGTTCTCTTCCACATCATTCCTATGAAATTTTTGACAGTCCTCGCCGCAAAAGCAAAAACAAACTACATGTACATGTTGTTGTTGGCGTACCGATACCACCTTAGTGAATACGCCTTGGTGTTTTCGTTGTCGGTCAGAACATGGTATAACAAGGTGTATTAAACAAGGTAGTGTTGGGGCGACACCTGAGTTTTTCGCCGTGGCAGCCATTACGTCAAAATGATGTGTTTGTTGTAACTCATACCAATGACAGTATGGACATCAGCGTATAATTTGTTAGTGTAATTTTTTACTTATATACGGCCAACACCACCTTGTTAAATACGCCTTGACTGCTAATTAGTAGGTGAGAGTGGCGTATTTTCTCTACCAGTAGAGAAATAATCGGTAGAAAAAAGTTACAGAAACGGGCTACTTACTGTTCGCGTACTACTATCCAGTAAATCCAGTACTAATTTCATGGATAACTAGATATGAAACTCTCTCATTTTTTCTGAGAGCGCGCCCAGGAACTCGTTTTCTTACTTAAGTGGCGAGCTACCACTAGATGTGTGAAAAATGCATCACATTGATTTCAGTGGATTTCTTCCCCCGTTTTTTAATATTACTATCAAACAGTGTTTGTAACTAAACGCGATTTTACTGGAAATATAAACACTGAAATATAAAATAGATATGAAGAATATTGCAACTTTTGTTCTTTGTGTTTAATCAAAAGTTTCTCCATAAATTTCTTTATAAATGCCCATACATGTTTTCGTCACAGTGGCTCTACTGGAGAATGTTATAAAAAATACACACTTTGACAGCGCTCTCACGAGAAAAAGAGTTTCATATCTAGTTATCCATGCTCATTTTACTGGTTTTTTACTGGATGTCGTTTTCGTACGCAAAAACTTGCAAGAAACTAGCAAAAGAGGGGAAATTGAGAGAGCAAATATGACAGCTGAAATTGCAAGTTTTACTGGATTTTTACTGGATACATTTTTATTAGCAACTATTTGCTAGTAAGAAAAACAGCTGATGGCATGATGGTTATTGTAAATCACATTAAGGTTGGTGTTATGAAGAAATTTTGTTTGGCAAACTGCGTGCAATTGTTGCAGCAAACTCGGAGAGAGCGAGTTTGGCGACTCTGACAGCAAACTAATTTTGTTTGGTCAAACTGCAGCAAATTCGGTGTTGTCATATACAAAAATTTTAAATTGTGCGCGTTATGTATATCTGAAATTCTCTTTTCGTGTTGGCAATAGCCATGAAAACCATAATGACCGTGCAACCCTGTGCCAAACTCGACATAACCACCTCCGAGCAAACTGAGCAGCCGCCGACCTAAGAAAATAATTAGTTGTGTTTTCGTATTCTCCAGCAAAAAATATCCAGTAACTTGCCAGTAACCAAATTTCGGAGAGTAAGCCAATATTTACTTCCAATGAGTGAAATATGCAAGAAAGTACGAAAACGCAAAACCAGCAAGAAGTTGCTAGTTTTATGAACAGCTGATTAATTTGTTATTTTCCGATGCAATTTTCTTAGAAAACTAGTGTTTTCCATCTTATTATATATTTAAATAGGTTTATTTTGTCAATTGCAACTCTAAAAGCACCACAAACAATTATTTTCTTAATGTGATTTACAATAAGCATCATGCCATCAGTTGTTTTTCTTACTAGCAAATAGTTGCTAGTAAAAATTTATCCAGTAAAAATCCAGTAAAACTTGCAAGTTCAGCTGTCATTTTTGCTCTCTCAATTTCTTCTCTTTTGCTAGTTTCTTGCAAGTTTTTGGGTACGAAAACGACATCGAGTAAAAAACCAGTAAAATTAGTACTGGATTTACTGGATAGTGCGTACGCGAACAGGGCTATTGTTTGTGGTGCTTTTAGAGTTGCAATTGACAAAATAAACCTATTTAAATATATAATAAGATGGAAAACACTAGTTTTCTAAGAAAATTGCATCGGAAAATAACGAATTAATCAGCTGTTCATAAAACTAGCAACTTCTTGCTGGTTTTGCGTTTTCGTACTTTCTTGCATATTTCACTCATTGGGAGTAAATATTGGCTTACTCTCCGAAATTTGGTTACTGGCAA